AGCCCGCGCTGGGGCAGGTTCCCTGGCAGGACTTGTGACCCCGCGGGGGACCCACGCTGGAGCAGCCTGTGCCTGAGGGGCTGCAGCCTGGGGGGGACCCACGCTGGAGCAGTTTGTGAAGAACTGCAGCCCATGGGAAGGACTCACACTGGAGAAATTCATGGAGAGCTGTCTCCCGTGGGAGGGACCCCACACTGGAACAGGGAAAGGGTGTGAGGAGTCTCCCTCTGAGGAGGAAGGAGCAGCTGAGACAACATGTGATGAGCTGCCCACAACCCCCATTCCCTGTCCCCCTGTGCCACTAAGGGGGGAGGAGGTAGGAGAAAGTCGGGAGTGAAGTTAAGCCTGGGAAGAACGGAGGTGTGTGGGGAAGGTGTTTTTAAAGATTTGGGTTTATTTCTCATTATTCTGCTCTGATTTGATTGGTAATAAACTAACTTCCCCAGGTCGAGTCTGTTTTCCCTGTGACAGTAATTGGTGACTGATCTCTCCCTGTCCTTACCTCAACCTATGAGCCTTTCATTATATTTTCTCTCCCCTGCCCAGCTGAGGAATGACAGAGCAGATTTGGTGGGCACCTGGTGTCCAGCCAAGGTCAACCCACCACATCTGTGCATGCAAAACTCTGAGCAGGAAGAAAATACCTTAGAGCAACACTGGTCTCCCCCCTCCCTAGTTCTTGCCTAACCTTCTCCATGTCATAGGCTGGTGTTTCCCAGCATGATTTGGCCACTGCAGCAGTGTTGCCTTCCAACTACAGCACAGGAGTCCACTCATCAGAGGATCCAAGCACTGGAGAGTCACTGACTAGGCTAGGCACACACAACAGTACCCAATTCTCTGAAGGAGAAGTAAGTGTTTGGGCAGGGGAGCATGCAAAACTGCATTGAAATTGCTCCACTTTTAACAGGATGAGAGAGCTAGAAAGGTTAGGGCAGGGCCAGCTGCTAAGAAACAGCCAAGAATATATGACAGGGAAGGCAATGGGATTGGAGAGGAATGCTGTGGGTGCAGGAGAAACGTTTTTTAATTAAATTTGCAAAACAACATGATTATTTCAGCCAATATCTTTAATGTTAGGAGAAATAAGTACACTTGAAAGAGTTTAAAAATACTTCAGAATGTTACACCTGAGTAACTTGGAGGCAGCTGGCAGGGAGGGCAGGGGAGAAGGGAGGGGGCAAAGAGTTAGCTAGCTTGTAGCAAAGCAACAACCGTCATTTTACCCATCGGGAGATTAATGGCCAACATTCGGGGTCCTTGTCTTTCAGTCTAGAACAACAGAAGATTCCAGAATGGATAAAACAAGAGTTATCCAGATAGTTTTTTGGCCTTTGGGGTGGGGTGGACAGCTGTTTTATGGAAAAAATAAAAACCAGAAAAGCACATGCAGTCCCTTTGCCACTTGAGATTAAAAGTGTAAATAACCCACAAAAAAGATGGAGAGCAAAGAAAGGGTACTTAACGCAGTTTGTTCTGATAACTGCAGTTTCATCTTCCCCTTCCCAGGTCCAGATGTTCTCTCCTCTCCGCCATACCTGCAAACATACCAAGTAGCTTTTCTTTCCTCTTTCACATTGCTCAGACACCAACAGGAGAAAAAACAACCACAGCTTGCCCGCTCTCAGCCAGAGCCTGAACAGCCGCACCTGCCAGGAGGAGCACGGGGGGAAGCCGGCCGAGGCAGCACAGCCCACTCACCTGCTCCTTGGAAAGGGCATGCAAAGCTTTGGGGAACTGGGGCACCCTCACTGCACATGGAGTTTTCAGGAGAACAGTTTAGCCGAAGGTGCTCAGGAACTTTTTCAGGCGTGTGCAAACAGACTGTTTGCAGGCCTGTAAATCACTCACCTCCAGGCAGATTTTCTCAAGAATGGCATAAGGTAGAACCTACACGGGGCCAAATCCCCTGCCAAACCTCAGTTCCACCTCCAAAGCAAAAAGGAGTATGAGGATGTGTCAAAAAACAGCTGTAAAAGTGGCTTAACACAGACAAAACATTGCTGGGTTTTTTTCCTTAACACACTCAACAACAGATGAGCTAGTCTAGCTGAATTTTTCAAAGAAAGTTTAAGTTGATGGTGACAAATCTAGCCTGGGAATTAAGAGACCAAAGGGTTAATGTCTGAGAAAGCTACAAGCAACTAACACAGCTTTATAGTGGGAAGAGAAAGGGAACAGCCATGGCTACAAACTCCCCATATAATTACAGCCTGTCTCTTCCCCTGCCTCCCAGAAGAAGCTGTGCTTGCTCAGTCCAATCCTAATTTTGGGAAGTAAGAACCAACTTCAAACAGCAATTACTCTGTTGGACAATACCTTTCACAATGCTGCCCTGAAAAACATCTGCATTTTTTCAGCATGTTCTTATATCAGGTCTTCCACATCCTGATCCTCCATTGAACAGCATAATCACAGCAGGTATCTACCTACCACAATGACGGAGAACATTACCACAGCTTTTATGTTAAAGATGACACACAGAATCAGTTAAATAAGTTGTCTACAGCAAAACTAAACAGTACGTTTGGAAGAAATCTGTGTAAGTAGTTATGGCACTGCTCCCCCCCCAGACCTACATTCACATACTCTTGCACGTTTATTATTTATGCACATGCTGACAGAGGATTTTCTCTCGCACTTGCTCTCCCAGGCTTAGCACACAACAGGGGGAAAAAAAAGAGATTCTCCTAGCAATGGGACTTATATAGCACAACATGCTGCATCCTCTGACAAAAATCACCTCCTGACGGGTTTGTAACACCAACACTGCCCTAGGCTGATACAGCTTCCCAGCGTAACTGAGAGGCATCTCGAAGACAGTCTAGACAGGCTCTCGAAAGCACATCCCAGAACAGAGAAAGGGTGTGGCAGTGTAAGCCTGGTCACAGACAACCTATTGTGACAGCCAGAACACTCCTGTCAGATAGCCATGAAAATAATAGTTTCCTACCAGTCACCATTTGAACCAGACCAGCACTATCTGCACCGATCTTGCATCTTCCCTCAAACTTTGAAATTAACCTGGTATTCCTAGGTCATGTAAGACTAACACCTAATACTGCAATGCTCTAATGGGCAATAACAGCAAGAGGAGAGACCGTTTTGCTTTTTTTTTTTTCAGGTTATAAGGATGGAAAACATATAAAAATGGTGAACATATGATCCCAGGCATTGTACCAAGACCAGCCCTCAGTGTTCCCTTGAGCCTAGTGAACAAGCAATACAAATAGTAAGTTTATTACACTTACGATGTAAACAGTGGTATGATATTCATCCCCTAATATCACTGCACATATTCATAATAACTACTTTAACTACAGTGATTGCTGGTGTTCAAGTATGTAAAAAACTGCTAAAATCAAGTCACAACAAGATTACCTGGGTAGCTACCTACTGGTGCCTGTCTGCACCAAAACAGTCTCCACCTTTCATGAAAGGGCTCACAGGTGCACTGTACTTCATGAGCTCTAAACAAGATATATTTGTTATGTGCTGCATGAAGTTCCCACGTAGCAGAAACATCACGTTGCTTGCAGCAATGCTCTTGCTCATCTTACACGGCTGTAATCAACGTGCAAACAGCCTGGCAGAAGTTTTTCCCAAATGAAAAATTAAAAGCTTCAAGGAAAAATAGAACACATCAGTCAATGCCAAAGACACAGTTCATATGGCCCGTTTCTTACGCAGTCTGTAACACTGTTGTGAGCATGGGACAGCCATGCTTGGTATCAGCTGAAAGACAAGTGACAGATACAGCGCTCTGAAGGCTTTGAAGTCTGATTTCAAATTCAAAGCCCCTTCCAAACATACTGTTTAGTTTTGCTGTAGACAACTGATTTAACTGATTCTGTATGTCATCTTTAACATAAAAGCTGTGGTAATGTTCTCCGTCATTGTGGTATGTAGATACCTTCTGTGATTATGCTGTTCAATGGAGGATCAGGATGTGGAAGACCTGATATAAGAACATGCTGAAAAAATGCAGATGTTTTTCAGGGCAGCATTGTGAAAGGTATTGTCCAACAGAGTAATTGCTGTTTGAAGTTGGTTCTTACTTCCCAAAATTAGGATTGGACTGAGCAAGCACAGCTTCTTCTGGGAGGCAGGGGAAGAGACAGGCTGTAATTATATGGGGAGTTTGTAGCCATGGCTGTTCCCTTTCTCTTCCCACTATAAAGCTGTGTTAGTTGCTTGTAGCTTTCTCAGACATTAACCCTTTGGTCTCTTAATTCCCAGGCTAGATTTGTCACCATCAACTTAAACTTTCTTTGAAAAATTCAGCTAGACTAGCTCATCTGTTGTTGAGTGTGTTAAGGAAAAAAACCCAGCAATGTTTTGTCTGTGTTAAGCCACTTTTACAGCTGTTTTTTGACACATCCTCATACTCCTTTTTGCTTTGGAGGTGGAACTGAGGTTTGGCAGGGGATTTGGCCCCGTGTAGGTTCTACCTTATGCCATTCTTGAGAAAATCTGCCTGGAGGTGAGTGATTTACAGGCCTGCAAACAGTCTGTTTGCACACGCCTGAAAAAGTTCCTGAGCACCTTCGGCTAAACTGTTCTCCTGAAAACTCCATGTGCAGTGAGGGTGCCCCAGTTCCCCAAAGCTTTGCATGCCCTTTCCAAGGAGCAGGTGAGTGGGCTGTGCTGCCTCGGCCGGCTTCCCCCCGTGCTCCTCCTGGCAGGTGCGGCTGTTCAGGCTCTGGCTGAGAGCGGGCAAGCTGTGGTTGTTTTTTCTCCTGTTGGTGTCTGAGCAATGTGAAAGAGGAAAGAAAAGCTACTTGGTATGTTTGCAGGTATGGCGGAGAGGAGAGAACATCTGGACCTGGGAAGGGGAAGATGAAACTGCAGTTATCAGAACAAACTGCGTTAAGTACCCTTTCTTTGCTCTCCATCTTTTTTGTGGGTTATTTACACTTTTAATCTCAAGTGGCAAAGGGACTGCATG